TCCCTCTCTCTCTCTCTCTCTCTCTCTCTCTCTCTCTCTCTCTCTCTCTCTCTCTCTCTCTCTCCCGTCAGTTTCCTATGTGAGGACGTGTTCATTGACTATCATATGCTCATGTTTGCTATGCAAAACTTTGTCTATCCAATCTGGTAGTTGGTCTGTGTCACCACGAGGCTGAGGGCCTCTGAAAGTGTCTGCACCCATAAAAAATACCCCCGAAAAATGACTAACATGAAAGAGACAGAAGAGAGACAGAGAGTGGGAGATCGCTCCCTCCCTCTCTCCCCCTGAATACACTACACGAGGATGCATGACTCATAACGGCGCCTTTCGCACCGACAAATATGCAATCACAGGATCGCCATCCCTCGATAATGATAATGAGAAGGTCGACAGAGTCGCTGTGGTAGGTGAACTGAGGGGCGGTAATCACAAATCAATGGCAGGGGGTACAGCCTCTCCACAGTCGGATTTCTGGAAGTGCTGGCCGAGGCTTGAAACTTTGCTCTCTCTCTCTCTCTCTCTCTCTCTCTCTCTCTCTCTCTCTCTCTCTCTCTCGTCAGTTCCCTGTGTGAGGACGTGTTTATTGACTATCAAATGATCGTGTTTGCTATGCAAAACTTTGTCTATCCACTCTGCTAGTTGGTTTGTGTCACCACGAGGCTGAGGGCCTCTGAAACTGTCTGCACCCATGAAAAATGTCGAGGGCCCCAATATGCTCATAAATGTAAAAAAATTGGCCTTGCTCGAGAATGCATGCCCGCCTTGACATGGGGCGGGCATATGGGCACGGGTGTGTTTACCCACAACTGTTAGCGTACGAGCAGTTGGTCATAACTTCAGGACAGGCAAATCAAGTATGTAAGTCCAGTGTAGTAGGCTCGGACATATGCCCATACATGCACCTGCCTAGCCTGGACCATTATTATAACATCATACAATTAAGAATTTTTGTCGTAACATTAAGAACACATGCCCATACATACGCCTGCCAAGCCTGGAGCTGCACGTTCAAAGGACAACACCCTTTCAAGGTACTTCAGTGTGCCTTAGAATCCCTCAAAAGAACTGCACGTAGCCAACAATACCCCTTCCTACCCCCTCCCCCTATCAATATTGACTCAAACCGCCAGTTGTTCCAAGCCTCTTTTCCTAATGTTGATTGTTGTCTGGCCCTAAAAAATCTAAACAGCCGCCACGCATGATTAACATGCCTTCTGTCGCTAACCTTTTTATGGCAACCCAACCCATTCAAATGCCCCAAGTCCAGCCCTCCCCCTGCTAAATCGCACTCCTTTCGTTCTCAGTTTGCCTTTTGTACCGTTTGGTCCCTCTCAGAGAATTCATTGTCGGTGCAAACATCACAAATGACAAATAAGGATGTACATTGCTGCAGGTGCACATACTACTCATAAATATACAATGAATTTAGGAAAAAACGAATTGGACAGGGTGGGAGATTTTCACTTTTTTTTTTACAAATTTTGAACGATGTCGCACGCGGCGGTCCCACATCCAAACGCGAAGTAGTTTTTGTGCCGGACCTCACAATCGTGTCACGCAAGAGTCTTTTTGTCACTCGTAACAAAACACCACTTCGACCATGCACGCGTGCTATACCTCTCGCGGCTCCCTACGACAAGTTAGGGATCCCGCGAGGTACAACATACCTCCACATGCGCGAGTTGTCACCATTCGTTAGGTGGGTGTATCCCTGTTGAGCTACTGACCCACGTGCCAAAACTTTTACATGTAATCGCAGAGGTAGGCCAACCAATGGTGTTTTCTCGATCGCCGTAGCATAGGCATACGCGCGGTAGAACGCCTTAAGACTGACCCGTATGTCGTGCCCCGAGGTGCTAACTCCCCGGACCGACCATCTAATCAGGTCGACTTCTTGGACAGTCTTCCATTCTCTCAAGATAGAGCCTGGACAAATGACTTCCTAGGCCCCGAACAACCTACGATTTCATTCACATATATATATATATATATATATATATATATATCGTCAAATAGAACTGCCCGGTAAACCGTAGGCAGAGAGGGAGAAGAGGACAACAAATATATATATATATATATATATATATATATCGTCAAATAGAACTGCCCGG